GCTCCGATACCATCCCCCTTTTCACCCCTAGTTCAGAAAGCTTTGGTCAGAAAAAGGGAAATAGCTGGGCATTGACGAATTACAAATGGAAAAGCTCCATTGGAAGTCCAGTGGCAGAGGTGTAGGTTAGAAGAAACATGGACTGGACTAGCATAAAATCATGTCGGATAACTGCCTTTAATTGAGGTGGTAGTTAGATTAGGCTCTCTTAGAACAATCATGTAGAAACTCTGATGCTGAAAACTTTCAGGCAATCTCTACTATATTGGCACATTTCTTTTTATTTTGTTATTTTTTTGCAATAGATGCTACTATATTTCCTGGATTGAATATTTTGTATTCCAAATGTATATTTGAGATGGTTAAATGACAAGTTAGATTATCCTTGATAGATGTAAGGCAAAAACTTGCATATGGTTTTAGAATTACAAGCCTATATTCTTTGTTAGTGAAAATAATTTGTTACAGTTGAATTGAATTCTTTCCTATATTTAACAGATTATGGTGTGGTAGAACTGTGTTTTTAAAACTTTATGGGTGCAACTTCAGCCAATGTCAATCAGCCTATACTAAAGAGCCAATAATGCATCCAGTTTTTTTTTAGTTTCAACAGAAAAACTTAAAATTATCCCTTTCAGAGACTAATTTAAAGTGAGAGTTAGTGTAACTCCTTGTTTTCAATTTTTACGTTTCACCTAAGTGGATATGTTAAATGTCTTTAAATCATATGTGCAAGAATGAAGTGATATAAGAAATGGCAATCACTAAAGCAGGGGTGCAGAACCTCTGGCTGGTGGGTTGTGAGATGGTTTATCTGAGTGTCCTCAAGGGCAGCTGCTCACAGATCCCAGTGGCTGCCATTTGTCATCCCTGGCCAATGAGAGCCGCAGGAAGTAGTGACCTGACCTACACCACTTCCTGCTGCTCCCATGCCCAGGAATGGCATGCAATAGCCAATGAGAGCTGCAGGGCTCCGTACCTGGGATGCTTAGGTAAACAAACTATCTCACAGCCCACGGCTGCTACCCTGTCCAACTGCATATGTATTGGAGGTTACCCACACTGGCTCTGAAGTTTTACAATTTTATATGTAATAAAACTTTTTGTTTTTAAAAAAAATCATGTTCTCTCTCTAATTTCAGGAGAGTAATTTTTGGAAGACTATGACAAAACAATGAGAAGAAAAAAGGTCAATCATATAAAATTGATGTTTAGAAAAAGTTAAATTTGTTGCTACAGGCTTCCTGTGTACTTTGAAACAAGCAGTTTGTAGTCACAATGTAAGATTTCCTGATGTATTGTGAAAGAAATAGTAAAAATTCCAGGTGAGGTGGTTCAACAATATAGAAGTCAGGTTAATGCAGTTCCACATTTCTCGCTCTGCTGTTCAATCTAAAAATACCAGTGCATAGGGCAGAACATTTCAGTATCTTTGCATGCTAGACCCCCTCAAGAAGGGGAAAAAAAAGACCAATCTTGTTCCGTTGAGTCAAAAAGAAATTACTGAGCAGTGTTGCCCAACTTGCAGTACACCTGAACCTCTTTAATCCAGCAACTCTGGGAAGTAGCCTATGTCAGAGTATGGAATTTTCTGGACCAGGGGTGTTCCTGTATGTTTTCTGAAGGTGAACATAAAAACATTTTGCAAGGTACTTAATTTTTATTCCACATATAAATGACAGCAATACATATGGGGTCTGGGAAGGAGGGAGGATTGATGCAGGAGCATGCTGGGGATAGGGATGTGGGGACTGAGAGGAGGGAAGGTGCAGGAGGGGGAAGGGAGTATGGGGTCTCGGTGTGAGGGGGAGGAGTGGAGCACTTACCTGACACACTACTCCCAGGGCACTTGTAGCTCCATGCCTCCCTTCTCCACCCCGGTCCCATAGTGATGGGAAAAGCCTTTGGGGAAGCACTTCACTGTGCAGCAGTTCCTGCAGCTGTGGGGGAAGAAGAGTGGCAGCATGCAGAGCCACTTCCTCCACTCCCTGCCAGGCTCTGAACCATGAGTGTTCCCAGATTAGGGACACCTGGATTGTGGAGGTTCAAATGTATTCTGGTAGTGAAGCCATTAGCAGAGTTGAACTCTAACATTATCCTAAAAGTGTTTCAGTGGAGTCTAAATAATAGTAATAGAGGGGAGACAGAACTAATGGGGTGCATTATTCTGAATTAAATATCATTGCAAGTAGAAGAATTAAGCATATTGCATTAAGCATAACTATTGCATATGTGTATTTTAATGTTAATTATTTTTATGGTTAGGGTTTTTCTTCCCCTCTTAAACTAATCAAAATGCATATTATAATTACATGGGTTTCCAATATCCATACACAGGAAGTACAAGATACTTACATGTAAGTACACTGTAGTTACCTATATTTTGCATAGTTTTTAGTGTGTACTTTGTGCCACTTAATAAAAAGCATTACTCAGTTGTTTCTATTGGCAGCTGATTCAGTTGAAGTTGCTGAATGTTTTTGGTTTGTCCATCACAGATTACCATTTCCCAAGAGTGAGGAGACGGAACACTTGTATTAATCTAGATAGTGGGGAAAAACTGTGGCATGAACATGAAGTTTTAGATCACTTCCTTATTTTAAACAAATGGAATGTCAGATTCATAGTGTTAATACGTTTACCTTTCATTTGAACAGATTAGTAAAGATAAGAGTTCTGTTTTCCTTTTGGTAACACTTTACAATAAGTGGCACTAAATTACACTATAACTGCTATGTTACATGGAAGTACATGTAACTATACTGTAACTGTCAAAGTAGCTACTGTACATGTGCGTACATGGTAACTTCAGTGCTGTTTACAATCAATTGAATTACATAATTACGGATGATCCTGTCCTTTTTTTTTCATTGAGATAGTTGTATATATTTTGCTATAATGAAAATACACATTAACTTCAATGTATTGTTTATAGAGGAAGTCTCAGTGCAAGAAATGTGATGACATTTTTGAGCATTCTAATTTAAATTCTTAGCCTCAACTTAAGTATCAAGTTCCTTAAACTGCTTCTTGGATTCTCTGGTAACACTAAACAGAATGGAAAGATGCACTCATTTGCCTGTGATGCTACATGCCCATTTAAGTAATGATTATGTTCTCAAAGCATAAAAAAGTAGTAATGTTCTACATTTGAAAGTTAAAAATAATCACCGGACATTGTAAACTGGCAGTAATTAGCTACCTTGTCTTGAGTAAATTACATTGCATGTGTTTTAAGTGTGGGTGTTATACTAACATTCTAACTAACGTGGTTCCCATTCGGAGCTTTCATTTTACTCATTCATCATATTTCTTGAGACTACGATAGACTCAATGTCTCTGAATGGGATCTATAAAGGAGACAGACAATGTATTTTATCTGTGGAATACTGTATTTAACTCCAAGTGAATGAACCATGAGGTTGCTTACAAAGGGTATGGGACTGCATTACCTTACACCCAGTGAAGCCGTTTGACCATGTGGATGTCAATGGATGTAAATAACTACCCAGTCAATTCATGTACACTGCTTGTGGTGGTTTTACACCACTTTGCACAAATGTAAATGAAATCTTAAGGTGCAAGAGAGTGGAAAATCAGAAATTTATTGAAAATGAGTACAAATTAAGAGTTAACTAAAAACCAACCAGTATAATTTAACAGTCCAATTTATTTCTGGTTTTGCAACATTTCAATGCTGTTTTTACACTACACCAATAAGACAGCTTTGAGTGGTCACACCTAAAGATGTTCTAACATTTGAAGGGCTTATGTGATATGTTAAGTAATGATTTAAGCAATGATTCTACAGTTCAAGCAAAGTGCAGTTTGGATAGAATGTATAAAGATGTAAAAGCAGCATTGATAAACAGTTCCACTTCAGTACATAAAGGCCCTGATCCAGCAAAACACTTACTTTTTAAGCATATGAGTAGTTCTACTGAATTAGGTGGAACGTCTCACATGCTTAAGTGATTTGTTGGCTCAAGCCTAAGACCTTAATCAGACTGAGATATAATGCAGTTAATGCAATGTACAGTTGTGACAAGAAACTTTCTATTCTGGTACTAATTATTTCCTTTGCCAACCTTTTAAAAGTGTATGCTTTGAAAGACATGAATATCTTGAAAACCTATACTAGTTTCAATGTGTCTAGTAGCACCTACCTGGTTCTCTCAAACTACCATACTATATTAACATATTATTGCATTTTTCCACAGATGGTATGGAGTGAACTGTAAAAACAAGCATGCAATCACATCAATGCAGACTTATTTCTTTAAAATGTCATACTGTATATGATTTATTATGTTAACACTCAACCACATCATATTATTTATGTTCTGTATATTTTGAAAAAGTGCTGCTTGATTAACATTGCCCTCTTTTTCTTAGAAATTAACAAGATAAATGTTTCAACAAAAAGAAAACAATTAAAATACTATAATATTGTCCTTAGCAGGTTTATACTCTTCTGATAAATAATCTGACACAGCACCTTTTGTCTTCCATTTTATCTTAATACATGATGATGTATTCAGATTCTCCCCTCCCCCCCACAAAAATAAATCCCAGGAGATAATCCTTTACAATAAGCCATCATGCTTTTAGACGTCACAAGTATAGCAACCATATAGAAATATTATTTTTCAAAGGTGCAACACTTGGGAGAGGGAGATGAACTCCAAACTATACAGATTTTCATTCTCCGACATGGAATCGCTACCAAGAGTTGATCTGGCACCATTTTTATTTCAATGGAAGAGGAAATAAGCCACTGGGCTTATAGTGTTTTGTTGTCATATTTAAGAACATGAGACTTTAAGAGAAACTTTTACCATGGAGCTAAAAGCATTGGCAGAAATTCTCTATCATTCACTGTGACATAAGTTTGTACCCCACAAAATGCATAGACAGGAATTTAATATAAAGAATTAGTCCATTTACCGTATACACAAAACATGTATCATTTAACTTTTTTTCTTTTTTCTTTTTTTTTCTTTTTTTTTTTTTTTTGGCAAACCAACATAGATAAGCAGCTGTGGAACTGCCAAATTAAAAACTGAAAATTTAGCAACATAACAGTATTTTTAAGGATATTAATCAAATGTGGTTGTAATTCAAAACCTGAGGCTGTGCACTGGTTGTTAGCTTAAAACTACCTTTCCATATAACATTGTGCTTCCATTGTATAACAAAGAAAAAATTAACGAACTAGAAAAGTTTGCTGCTGAACAGTGCTAGGACATACAGACAAAAAATACTAATACATGTTATCTATTCAGAATATTGATTTAGGTCATATCTAAAGGGATATAATGGACATTAGAAAATGTTTACTTGTGACTGACTTAACTATAGCCAAAAAAGTTAAATATGTATCAAATAATGTTTACTTGGATTTATTATATGCACTATATACAGATAGGAAAATGCCTTGCAATTGTGCCCTATGAACACTTCAAATCTGAATAGGCAGGTGAGTTCATATGAAGCAAATAAATTATTAAAACCAAAATTACAGAAACAGATATCTAATCTTGTGATCCCAAAGAGCAGTAAAAGAACTAAATAAATTTGTTTCAGAATGAAGCTACAATTATCTAACTTTGCAAACTCTGTATAGATATACAGTATTATATAATTACCACCCAAGCATGGAATTAGTATCAAGGTACTATTTTTTTACAGTGTATTGATACTCGTTTTCCATCAAACCAAACATACAAGAAACTATACTATAACATTTTCTGGTTCCTAGGGCCTATGTTTCAAAAACAGGTTGCCTTTGAATTATAGACATGTATAAAACATTCTTTGTAAACCTCTAATCTTCGATTTAATGTTTTGTGTAAGTACATTAGGTCCTTACCCAATAGTATCGGTTATGAAAATCATCCAATGGCATATTGATAAGGACCATGGCAAAAGAAAACTGGAAAGGAAGAAAGCTATTTAACATTTAAAAATGTAGAAAACTCAATAACATGGTTTAAGATGAAGATTAACACTGTTAAGGCTGTATATTCAAGCACTGTATGTTAAGAGAGCAATGAATATGAATTTTAGGCAATAAGAAATGTCCTGCATTGTGAATGGTACTGTAATTAAAGAATGATGCTGTCAATAACTGATTGTTGGCATAAACTGGCTACTTGTAGCAGTATGTAAGTTAATAAAGTTTGCAGAAGATGGTAGAAATGATTTCTGAAAGATGATAGCCAGTTTTCTCCAGCAGTCAGCCTGATAAGTAAAACTCAGAGAATCTAGGTCTGCATCTAAATGAAATACTCCTTTTTCTCTTCTGCATTGACTTGACTGCCTTCTGCATTGATAATGGCTGTGTCAGCATCAGGTGCATCTTCAGCTCCTTTAGCTTCATTTGTTAAATATGTTCCTGTGGAAATCAGTACAATAACAAATTAGTAATTTTACTTTGGATTGCTTTATGGACAGTAGATCTGTAAAAACCGTTCTAACTACTTTGATGAATGGAGAGATGCAGAACAGAATTTGATTCACAATTTTAGCCCTAATTGTGCTGGTACAGATAACATTCTAATTTGGGCAAGTAGTAATTATGGTCCATAACACTTGTCCCATACGCACATACGTTTGCTCATATCTGTGCAAAAAAAGTACAACACGTTCAAATCCATAACTTTTTCTATCTTCTGTAGCATTAAGATAGTTTAAATTAAATCACTGTGATTGTATGTATAGATGTGTAAGAAATGTAACTTTTGCTTAGAATTCATTAAACTGGGGTGGGCAAAACCAGCCCACAGGCCAGATCCTGTTCCCCAAGGTTAGCCCGTGCCAGGTCACTATTACTGTTTATGTGTGCCTTCACAGGTATGGGTGATTGCTGCTCCCATTGGCCGTGGAGCGCCATTTGTGGATAAATGCCACAGATAAATATAGTGGCAGCAGCCTACCAGCTAATCCTGGTGAACCACTACCATTTCAATGCCTAATTCTACAATAAACACGTTTTTAAAAACTGAATTCTAATTATTTTTGTACAGGTTATCCTTGCTATAAGTCCAAGATACGTTCCAAAAAACGTGGACTTACAGCGAAACAACTTAAAGCAGGGAATTTTTTTCCCCACACTTAACTTCTGTTTACACAAATTGGGGGGTTTTGTGCGACTTAAGAGCAGGGAATAGGAGGACTTATAATGCAGCAGTTCCTACAAGCGTCAATGATTTTAGTGCGGAAAAGATGTATACTGGGACTACTTATAGCGGGGATGCCCTGTATTCTCACATTGATTTAGGCCATTTTTTAAAATCCATTCTTTAATTCCACAGACTAGAATAATTAAGATTCCGTAGACGTGAAAATCTGAAACAGCAAAGCAGTGTTGGTGGCAATGTAAAGTGAATGGATTAAATCAGCATGTCCCAAAGTGTGGTCTGCGTCCCAGTATCGCTCCTCGGAAAAAAAATACCGGTCCTCAGAAAAATGTGCATGCACGATTCTTGGGAGAGAGCCTGCCGCATCTCTGCTGGGCATGCTTCCAGGCGGCAGGAAGCAGGGAGAAGACTGCGCGCACCGATGTAGAACGGGAGCTGGCGCTGGCTGATAAAGCATCTGGGATTGGGGCCAGGAGGGGGAGCGGCCGCGCTGATGCTACCTCCAGGGACCACAGAGGTAGCGTGGACTTCCTGCGGGGTCAGGGGCAGTTCTGCAGCTGCACGCCAGGTCCCAGAAGTGCGTTGGGGATGAAGGGGGGTTCCAGGACTGTGCCGCTCCAGCTGCTCCGGGGGGTGGGGGCGTGTGCTGCCATGGGGAGCAGAAGAGCTAGGCATGCACGGGGCTGGCACGGTCCAGCACTCCCCCCTCACCCTGCTCAGGAAGGCATTAGGCATGCGATGGACCAGTGTTTCAGGTACTGCGCTGCTGTTTGGGGGAGGGGGAGCAGCCCGCACACTTCCTGGGCCTTGGCGTGCAACTGCAGGATCCCCAAGTGTTGGTCCCTGTCCCCTCCCCCACACCAAGACCCTCACAAGTATTCTGCCCAGCATCCACTTCTCCACATCCTCCTAGATCCAAATACCCTCCCAGAGCTTGCACTTCTCTCTTTCCTACACCTAAATCCCTCATGCACACCCCAGAGCCCACACCTCCTGTCTCAACCCAGTTTATATGCGTTTATATTTTTGGGTCGCAAAAAAAAAAAAAGGTACTGAAAACCAATTTCCAACTGTATAAAGTTTGGGAAACCCGGGGTCAGTCTGGCCAGCTTTCTATCCATCTTACAGTCTATTTATCCAATTCATATTCCTTAACTTGCTGGCAAGAATACTGTGGGAGACCATATCAAAAGCTTTGCTAGAGTTGGCACTGGGGGCTTTGGGAGGACCATAAACAATTTATTTGCATATTCATCATTTGTTTAATTAATATGCAAATATGCAAATAAATGTTACCGGTCCTCCAAAAGCTTGTGAATGGGTTTACTGGTTCCCAGTATCAAAAAGATTGGGAACCACTGGGTTAACTTAAAGCAGCTAAGTAGTATAAGAGCAGGATATTAATAGAGCTGTATGCAACAAGCTCTTTTCACTTTCTGAAAAGAGTTATTTACACTGGCTTAGGACTCATTTTTCTTCAGCCAAGAAGCAGAGAAAAGGTACCAGATTAATTAGAAATTTGTAATTTGTCACTCTGCTCTACTTAAAAAAAACCTTTATACTTGTATTTACTAACTGCTGGTAACACTATGTTGAATTAAATTTAACAAGAGTAATACAATCACCTTTGTCAAATTCTGTAGTCTGTTGTGGTTTTACTTTCTCCATTGATATTAGTTTTTATCTAAGCTTACTGAGAGGAAAACTCCCGCTGAGTCAAGACTTAGCATGAGTTTTGTGGTTGCCTCTGATAGAACCTAGATTTCACTCTTGGCACACAATTCTGATTTCAGTGAGACCAGGATTTCACTTGATATTTAACGCAAAGTATTAAATTTGTGTTTACAGTTTTATCATAATTTCTGATAGTGAATGAGGATTTAAACAAACTATATATTCTGTTGAATTACTATAACAGTTAAAACTATGAGGACACGTAACTGAATGCTTAGAGCAAAGAGTTAGAATCTAGAGGCATTTTTGCTTCTAAGTTTCCCTTAACCGCTGATTCATTACATGACCTTAGGCAAATTGCTTAATGGCCTTTTGCTTCACTTAATCCAACAGTAAAACTGGGTCAAACTGGGTAAAACAATCAGATGCTACTTTTGAGCCTGAGCTTTCCCAAGCAACTAAATTCCAAGGGGAAGGGAAGGGAAGAGGAGAGAGAGAGTGAGAGAGTTTGAGGTGAAGCTCATCATGAAGTATTGCTATAAAAGAAGATTGCACTTTGATTAAATCTGTCCTACCTTTATGTCTTGCCAGATATCGTCCAAGCAGAATTATAGAACATAACGTGACAAAGACAACTACAGCCACTATTCCTCCTATGAGAGCATGGTCAGGTCCAGTCTGTCCAGCCAAAGCATTTGGGTCTAGAGGGGGAAAAAAAACAAAAGTCCTGATCAGACAAGAATTGATATGAAAATACACAGCAGCAAATTTATACCCATTGTGAAAATAGGGCATTTGCCTCTTTAATATGCAGGGTGATTATTCCCTCCCCCCTTTACTACCAGTATCTTATCAACAACATAGCATCATGTATTCCCAGACTGTTAAAGCCCTGAGGACATCACAGTTATGAAAAATGTTACATTATTCTTCCTTGGCAGAGGTTATTAAATGGGAAAGGTTTCTGGTTTTGTCCTAGTTGTTTTACAACTGAAAATGTGGCTGTAGCTATTTATAGAAGAAAAAGCACAGAATTGAGAATTGGGGATCAGATAACATCAGCAGAATACTGTCTGAATAATACATAATTTATATGACTGAGTCTCAGTGGGAATCCCTTATACAGTCTCTTCTTGTCATTCCTATCCAACTGCACTAGAAATAAGAAAAGGAGATAAAGTGCAGACATTCCAAGTTCCTTTGCAGATGGCTGAGTCTGCAGGAATTTGGTCTGATAAATGTATCAGGTATCCTGTCATTCACTTTCGAATGTTGATTTGTGAATTTACTACACTTATCCAGTTAACATTGACAGTACATTTTAATAAGTTTAACAATTTATTAGGAGTTTCCTTTCATTCACTATGCACATATTGGGGGATTATTGTCAGTTTTAAGCCTTTTATGTTGGTTATTTATCTATTAGTGAACCAGGTGCATTACAGAAGGCTCTGAAGATACAATCATGGACAATGACACTGTTTAGGGGTCAGTAATTCCCCAGTGCTGTTGCAAAATGACCTGGTAACCTTCAAGTATTGATTCATCTAAAATCTGCTAGAGTGGTGGAAAAAGGAGTCAATCCTATTGTATCATGGTAAGATTTCTCTTATTTCTTAAAATGAAAAATGACTCCACCACAAACTAATAGTCATTCTCTCAAGATTGAGGGTTGTGGCATTAGCATGCTCACTCTCCAGTAATCAGTCTGCAGTGCTTTAAGAACATTTTCCTTTTAAATGTTTATATTCTACAAATAGTTTGCAAAAGCTTTCTGGCAACAGAGAAAGGTGGAAATCCCATTAAGAGAAAAAAGGGAAAAATCAGTAAAATGTGAGTGAGAAATGCTGCTGCTAATGTATGAGAAAAATGATGTTCCTATTTGGTTTTGGTAACCTATACAAGCTGTATGTCTTATTTTTCTGTATTTGTTGTTTTGTTATAATAACAAATTCTTCATATGTCAGAGGTAGCCAGTACAATTATGCAGTTACACTTTTAGAGCTGCAAAATCAGATTATAAAAGTAAAATTGTACAGACATGAAATGTTAGGGTCAGGATCATGCCATATACAAATAAGCAAAAAAAAGGGGGGGGGGGGGCGGACGGGGGGGCAGGACCAGGAGGGGAAAAGCAAACAAGTGAGCTGGAATGGAAGTCTCGCATTATTTGAGCACTCTCTTTATCCAAATGTCTCAGGATACAGATATTTTCAAATTCACATAATTGGTCTCTACAGCAAGAAGACACACTTTTTGCTACTACTTCAGACAGGTCCAAATGCCAGTGCTCTATTATGGGTGTAGGCCTACTCCTCCATTATTTGTAAATTCATGATTCATAATGATTGCTACCTTCAGCAATCAAAGTCATTGTAGTGAAGATAGCACAGAGATACAAAACCTAGGATAACGTTTTCTGCTGAAAAGCTCATGATGCCATCTACATGTTTTATTAGTCTTTAAGTGCTACTAGACTATTGTTTTTTAAGATTTTTTGCTGAGGTTTGGTTGCAAAAACAAAACTTTCTTCATTCATCTATCTCTTTCCACAGCTGCTTGACTGTGAGGTAATCCCATATCAGATGCATGATGAGTTCCTTTTTCTTTATTATAACACTAACAAAGGACAAGGTCCCCATCTTGTTCAACATCTGTGGTGTCCTGTATCTTTTGAATAGAATTTTTTGCTGTATCAGGCCTGGCCTTAACATTCCATAATATGCTGTGCCAATAGAGTTCTTTTGCCTGGGCCTACACTAGGACTTTATTTAAAAATAACCTTCCTAAAGTCGAATTTATAAGCAAAGCGTCCACACTACCAAGCTCATTATTTCAAAATATAGGCCACTTAATTCAAAATCTGTATTGCTAATTCTGAAATAGCAGCACAGGAGTGTCCACACCACAGTTATTTCAAAATAACTATTCTCTAAAGGAATTTGAATGAATTACTCCCAAGTGATTCCTGAGGCTCTAAGTCCTAGGCAGCGCATCCACATTAACAGAGCGCATCCTTGGACTAGTTTGAAGGCTTCTCCATAGTGGGGACACACTAGTCTGATTTTGTTATATCAGGAGTTAAGTCAAGTTTACTAATTTTGAAATAGGTTCCTAGTGTAGACATGGGCTTTGAGTACTGTGACTACTCCCCTTCTTGTCCTTTCACAAAGTACTCCAGACCAACACTTATATGATGGACTAAACGTGAGACTTCCATGCAGACCAGGATCATTTCTCTGTTCTTCAAAAAGTTGGGTTTTTTAAAGAACAGAACTTTATTTTCTTGGTTTCTATAAACCACTAACCCATATTGAAAACATATGCCAAAATTTTCTGATGCATATAACCAAGACATCTGTTATCACTCCCTGGCTCTGCTCCCAACAGTTATTGAATCTGGAGACAGGGCTTCTCCACTTATTGTTGGTGTTTTTCACTCCCTGCTGTTTCTCCTGCTGCTGCTGAGCGAGGATGTGTGGTCAAGTTGCCACTGGTATGAGCCCTATGGAAAAAACTGGCTGGGGGCCTTCAGAGAAGAGGGAAAGACTTAGTGAAAGCCCACAGCATCTGACTCCTCCACCTTTTTCAGCAGAAGTCCCTAAGGGTACATCCACATTTGCTCCCTAGTTCGAACTAGGGATGCAAATGTAGGCAACCGAAATTGCTCATGAAGCGGGGATTTAAATACCCTGCGCTTCATTAGCATGATCTTGCCGGTGCGTTACTCCGCTCAACAGCTGATTCGAACCAGGAAGTGCGCGCCGGGGTGCGTTAGTTGGAATCAAACCCCTTGGTTCAAACTAATGTTACTCCTCATTTTTTGGCTCATTTTCCATACCTGGCTTGCAATTCACTGGCAGTGGCTAGTGTATTTAAATATTTAATGATATTTAAATCCCTGCTTCATGAGCAATTTCGGTTGCCTACATTTGCATCCCTAGTTCGAACTAGGGAGCAAGTGTGGACGTACCCGAGAGAATGGCCATTGCCAGTGACATGCAAGCCAGGTATGGAAAATGAGTAAAAATGGACCTTACTTCCCTTTAAAGATTACTCTCAACACTATCCTCTTTCAGCCTTGAAAAGAAGAGAAAGAAGCAGAGCTATGCTTTCCCCTGAGCAATGAGGAGCCTTTGGTCATTTTTTTTTCTTGCAACTGGACTGAATTACAAGGGAAATACCAAAGAGGTGGCAGCTCAAGAGCCTCCACTTAATCAAAAGGAAAGGGAAAGCTTTAGTGGCATTTTCTAAAGGCCTCTCTAACTCTACTTCAGGCTGCTGGCAAGCTCCTGTTTACTCCTTTGTGGTAACAAAGCTGCTGTTGTCATCTGCTCTTGCTCAGTAATAGCCAAAAGGAGAGCCACATCACTGGGAGCAGGAGGGACCACTGATTTTCCTGTGCTTCACTGAATCTAGGTTAAGGCCAGCAGGATCTGTGATTGCTGCATTAGGCCAGCAGTGACCCATTTGTCAGTGGTAGTCACTCAAGCATAAAACATAACTGCTAGCAGTTAAATTAGACAGGATAAAATTTGTTTTATATGTGCCTATTAACCACCCTTCTGATTCTGAACATAAGCCAGCCTCTAACAATCTCCTAAGACAGGTAAATTATTTCATTGCCACCTATATAGTTTTTCGCACTTTCTCTGAAACTTCTGGTACTAGACACCATTAGGGTATTTAGCTAAATGGACCAGTGACCTAATCCAACATGCAAGTTCCTAGATTCTTTTGTGTTACTGTAGATTTGAGGTTCTACTGTTTCTGTATATTCACTCTTTAGTTTTGACAGACATTTTAATCATTTGTTTTATACAAAAATAACATTGCACCTATCTGTAAAAACATGTCTTACCTTGATATGGGCACATCGCTATTGCAAATGAAGCAGGGATTTAAATATCCCATGCTTCATTTGAATAGAAATGGCTGACGCTTTTTGCCAATGCGGCACTTTGCTGGCAAAAAGCGGCGGTCTAGACGGGGATCGGTCAACAAGGAAATCCTTTTCCGACCAATACCTTATGCCTTGTGCAATGAAGTTTACAGAATCGGTCAGAAAAGGCTTTCCTTGTTGACTGATCCCTGTCTAGACTGCCACTTTTTGCTGGCAAAGTGCCGTGTCGGCCATTTCTATTCAAATGAAACGCAGGATATTTAAATCCCCACTTTATTTGCAATAGCAATGTGCATAATCTACATCCCTCTGTCGGCAGTGGGGTGTAGTTCAAACACACCCTTAATGTTTAATACTATGAATGATAATTATTGGCATGTCAAAGGCAGACCATGTCTTAGAACCCACAAGTACTGTTCTTAGTAAACTGTATCGAATAAGCAATAAAATATAAATGGTTTTGTAATGTATCACCAATATTATAACAACTTTTTATACAAATTTTCCCAGAAAAATGTCTTATTAGGGGAGCACAGCTTCCTTGGCATATAACCCACCCTACATAAAATAATGCTGCAAATTGGGAAGCCTTCTATAAACTAGGAAATATTATTGTTTAACACTTTTAAAACATGTATATTACATTTGCAGGGTAATGCACTGTCCTTTTGCAATTCATGACATGAACAAATTCCCTGGAGTGAATTACAGCCTTACTTTAACTTTGGGGATATCCATTATCTAGTATATAATTACTGCTGTTGCCAAAATGCCTCAGGAACTGCTTCTACAGCACAG